TATTATATTATTATATATTATGTATATTTTTCTTATTAGCTTTCATGGACTTAGCCTGGTCTCAGGTATTTATAAGCCTTGTGTTTTGTGACATCGGTTGTCCAGTGATTGGGGCTAGCTCTTTCTAAGGGACCCAACAGAATAGGTGTATTCCCTCACCTGAGGACGGAAACAGATCCAGTTTCCGAAACGTTGTGTTTTTCTTAGTTATCTTAAAAACCAGGAGGATGGATAAAGTCTGAAAACCTAATATCTCTATATACGTAAATATTAATTTATAGTTCTGACTGATTATATAGATTGAGGCATTTGAAAGGAAATAAATATCCTTCATTCATTTGCATCCACTTCCCGTGCAGGTAGTCTGATCAGGGAAACCACGAACGTTACATTTCATGCAGCACTGGCACCAAATTGTGCTCATAATATGTATCAATGTTCTTCAGTGAATGAGAAAACAGTAATACTACTGCCCTCGAGATACCACAAGGAGCTTAGACAAGCTATGGAACAGTACTGTTTCACAACATGCACACACAGAGCATTTGCAATCATTTGTGTTCTGTGTGTCAGTACGTGTTTGTGGCCATGTATGTGAGAGCATATAGTTATGCTTATAGGTGCAAGTGGGTTAATTTTTCCAAAGCTTCTTAAAACTGAATTCATCACATCCATATGTGAACATAAAGTAAATTTTGTGTTCATACACACATGGTTTGTTTAGAAGAAAATATGTTCATATTGTGATGGGACATAGTTCCTTGATAAGTTTGCTGGGATGTAGGATGTATAGGGTGGAGAAATGTTCTGAACTTTCTTCTATTACTTCTGTGGCAGTTGTCATCATAAGGCACTAATTAGTGAAGTCAGAAAAAGTATGTTATACAACTAATTAGTATTATATGATAAATTTGATAATGATGCATAACTGTCTTGTGTAACATTTAATTTTGTTAAATTTCTTGAATGAAAATAGCAGTGTGTGGGTATATTAGGAAACACACTTTATAGCCACTTTTGCAGTGTATTTTCTTTTCTAGTTGTGTAATTCTGCACGAGATCTCTCATCAGTTAACCAGAGAACATTCATGGAGCCACTAAAGAAGTATGGTGGTACATTCAGTGGTGTTGAGTCAGCATTTCAACGACGTGAACAGTTATCTCAGGAATGGCGTAACCTTGCAGCAAAAGTTCGCAAACTTGAGGAACGGGAACGGACTGCTAGTAATGTTGTGAAACTTGAACGTGAGAAAAGATCCCTTGACGTGGCAGGCAAGGAACTGGCAGCATGTCATGCTTTTCTCCTTTCAGAGTTAACACAGTTTCTAGAGAAGAGGACTGATTACTTTCGGCCAACGCTTCAAGCTCTATTGAGATCGCAGCTTGACTACTATGGAAGTACTACCAGACTCTTCACTCACCTTATACCTGCTACCAGTGCTAATGAAGGTTCACCATCATCATTATCTGTTTCAGATTCAGAATTTGAGGCTAGTATTAACAGCAAGCTTGGTTGCATCCGAGCTCTATCCATTGTAAAAACATAAGGTATGACATAGCTAATATAGAATCAATATTCTTCTCCCACATCACAGAAGGTCTTTCTGATCCATACGATAGTTTTAAGTAACGTTTTAATTCTCTGCCATTCTTCTGGTTTTCTAATATTGGAATAAGTTCTGAAAATTCACTTGATTTTAATGACAGCTGAAATAAAGGTTCCAGTACCAGATATGGCAAGACTAGAATGATACAAATATGCAGCCAACATATAAATCAGATGAGAAAGTCAGACCTGAATTTTTTCTGGAGGAAGGAAATTTTTTTTTATGCTCTAATGCTCTTAGGTGATTTTTTAATGATTTTAGAAGCAAGATTTATAAAAATATATGTACCCGTTTTCAAAATATACTTGGTACACAATTGTGTACACTGGGTCTCAATCAACACTGAAATCATTGTAGACAAAAAAAATATTTTTATTTGGTGCATTTAAATGTGAACTCTTTTACACATACAATAGATATAAAATTCACCATGTTTTAGTTAACAATAAAATGTGTCGAGAATTATGTTCATAATGTCTTTTAATTTAAATGAAATGAACGGAAACAGTTCTTTTCCTTTGACAAACAAAGACGTACATTACATTTTTCACATTTTACTCTCGAACGTCCCTTGCATTCTGGAAATTTGCACCTAGTAGGCAGTGCACCATTTTCATGAAGAGGCCAGTGTTGTGCTCCGTCGTACTGAATCTCTTCAGGAGGCCTAGTTTCTCCTCGTAGCCTTTGAACAGGAGTATCTGGAGGTGTGGCAGATGGTCGACCTCTTTTTTTATTGGGGATATCCTTCCCACTTAACACCAGAACATCAGCCAGTCTTATACGGAAATGTAGGAGATCCATTATTTTCTTCGTTGGTAGACCAATTTCTCTGGCACTTGTCCTGTATTCCAGCCAACTCTGTACCACAGCAAAATCAACAGCATGGAAAATTGCTCTGAGTGTCCATTTCTTGGATTTTATAAAAATTCTGTAATATGACATCAATTGATCAAAAAGATCAACTCCACCCATGCCATGGTTGTAGAGTTTTACAATCTCTGGTCGATTGATAGTAACATATTTATTTTGTTTCTTGTCCCAGCATTCAACTTTGTCAGTTTCTCCTTTCCCAATAAAATTTGAACCTAGAACAACTGTTTTGTTGTCAACCCATTTTACCAGTGTTATGTCATCTGTGCTGCAAATTTCTTCTGAAAATCCTCTTTCCTTCTTCAGTGCCTCCTTGTCCGGCATTAGAGGAGGATTAGCAAAACGGTTGACTCTGACAGTTCCAGCAGCACAGATGTTTTCTTGTTTCAATGCTTGGAAAAGCTTGTATGAGGAAAAAAAATTATCAGAATATATCTTATGCCCCATTTCTTGTTTTATTCTCTGGGCTAACTGTAAAACTACTGTTGGTCCTTGCCCAAATGCCTTCAACAAAGATTCTTGAAATTCAGTTGATGCTCCCTGATAAAGAATAAAATCATAAGCTTGTCCACTCTTACCACATAACATGTACATTTTGATACCCCATGGAGTTGGCTTGCCCTTCACATACTGTTTTACAGAGAGCCGCCCTGTAAATGGGATCATTGCCTCATCAACTGCTAACTCTTCCTCCGCAGGTAACTCTAGACATCTGTTACGCAGGGCAGTATATATAGGCCAAACTTTATAAAACCTGTCTTTATTGTCAGCTGGTATATCCATGTTGTTAACAAGGTGCAAATTTGTTCTCACTTGGAAGAACCTGTCTCTGGACATACTGTCTAAGAATAATTGCATTTTCAATGTCGTGTCCCAAAACATTCGAACTCTGGGAAATTTTAGAGTTCCCATAATTATATGAAGTCCAAACAATGTTTTGAGTTCTGCTGGTGTAGTTTGTTTGAAATTGCTAATCTCTCCACTTTGCAATGCATATATGTTTGTCATATCAGCCATAGTGCAGAAGAGGTCATCAGGAATGTACTTACTGAAATAAGTTGAAGGAGAAAGCAACTCCTGGTCTTCAATATGTTGTTCCCATTCAGAATATGAATCCAATATAGAAATTGGGCGATGACGCCACTTGATGTCCTTTTTTTCTGATAAAATGTATTTTAAATCACTAATTTCATTGTTAGTAACTAGATCACTTTCTTGAATATCGCTATTGTTGTTGTCATTGTCATTACACACATCACTTTCATTATTTGGCATTATCTGGTAATCGGTTTCTTCCCTGTTTATTTTGTCAGCCCCCACTCTCACTTTTTTTTCTCTTGAAGTACAGGAAGACTGTACCTCAGGAACTGTTTCTTCATCTGACGAAAAATCTAAATCTGACACCTCCCCATTCATCAACATCTCTAAAATGGCATCTGCATCTTGCTCCATGTTGAAATACTGTTTTTTGGACATGATGAACAGAACTGAAAAATTAAACAATCACAAATAATAATCTCAGTAGTAGTATTTTTCTGTGCATAAAAATATACAGTAGGCCTAACTACGTTGTCGATAACTGGAGCTTGAATCCTGTGCTAACTTTCCTAATTGTAACTTATTATAACAATTACCAGTAATACAACAGACTTGTCTATTTTGAAGAAATCCCAATCAAAACTCATAAAAATTGTTAGGATAACAAAGAAACAGTTACAACAAGCACTTCACATCAAGTAAACACAAAAGTTCTAGGTTATGTCACATATTGTTTACTATACTGCCTGAGACCTCATGGTTACGATTGTACACTGAAAATCGTTGCTTCTTTTTATGGACTAAAATAATTAGTTTTGAAATATTCACTGTTGTAATAAATAAACTGATCATTTAATAATTTGCATGCAAAATAACAATAATAACATTCAATTATACAGTGGAATATAACTTACCAACCACAATCGTGTATTCTGCAGATCACAAGCTGCGCAAGCTGCTGTGCACTGCCACATTCACTTGTTGATATTTTTATAGTGCTGCACAACAGATGGCAGCACTTGGTGCATAATGAAAAGATTGAACTTTCACAAACGTGTACATGAGGTTTACATTGAGGAAACATTTTTCTGTTGCAGCTAAGACACAGTAAAAATTAATGTACACAATTGTAGCCAGTGGGTCTGAAAGGGTGTGGTGTCCAAACATTGTATCTGAAAGAATAACTTCTTTCTAGTAAACCACATACCATTAATCCAAGCTCATCTTAGGGTAAACAAAGCAGAATTAAGAATTAATGCACAGTATATAGCAAGGATAATCAGGTCACTGTTTACATAATACGGTGCCAAAAAAATGAATAAAATTGGATGCACGGATTTCTCAGGGCCTTGTACACAGACATATCATGATAGTGAAAAACATGTAAGTCGCTTATTAATTTACACAATATTAATATTGTAGCATGTCTTGTCTACTGTGGACACCGTTCAGATTGTTAATTGGTTTTATTAACGACCTACAAGTCATAACTATAATTAATTAAAACACTGTTGCAGGTTTACAGAATTTACAAACCCTACACACTAATCTATTCACTCTATCTTCAGTAGTCTTCACTTATTTACAGTATAACACAGGAGCTATACAGTGTCACTGAATTACACAAAAATTGGTTAATATTCCATAAATTAACTTCCATCTAAATATAATTTTTGGTTATAATTCGATAAATTATGTTGTAGTTGTAAGTTTTGAGGTTTTCACGGCGATGACAATGAAGAGAGTCNATCTTTCAGAAATATGTGAAAAATCCTTAAATAAAGGCGAAATCCACAAAAAATATGATCAAAATATTTTAAATTAACTTGAAATCTTTCACAAATTTATTGAAATTCCTCATATTAAATTGATATCGTCCAAAAATGAGTTAATATTATTTCAGTTAGCTTTAAATCGTCAAAAATAGGTTAGAATTTATTAAATAAAAGTAAAATCCCCAAGAATATTGTTAAAGATCTGTAATTTAGCCTGAAATATTAAAAATATTGTTTAAAATTCCTTAAATTAGCTTGAAACCGCTCAAATATTGGATACAATTCTTGTAATTAACCTGAAATGCTTCACAAATTTGATAAAATTCCTTAAATAAAAGTGAAATTGCCAAAAATTATGTCAAAATTTCTTAAATTATCATGTAATCAAGCAAAAATATTTTAAATTTCACTATTGAACTTGAAATTGTCAAGAATTTTTCGTTAAAATACCATTAATTAGGTTGTAATTGCCTTCTCAGTTATCACAAACTACCACTGATTATCACACTTAAATTCTTCTAATCACGCTTTCAGTTCTTCTTCCTCCCGTGGCTGCTTCGACTGACTGACTGTCTTCTGTTCTGCCCAATACTTGCTCCTTAGTTATTCTAGTTTCTCTTATAAACCCTCAATTGGACAGGTAGAAAATGCAGCTTGCTTCACTGTTGCGTGATGCCGTGTTTACAGAGGTGTTGGTTGGCAACGCTGCCAAGAGTTGTTTACTGCCGCATAGCAACCAGTGTGGTTTGGCTCGGCACAGCACAGAGAAACACCACTTTCCTTATTGTTGCATAACCTCTTTCCACTGTTGTGTAACGTGGCAACCCGACTGTTTATCAAGAGTCTGTCTTCGTGGTAACTCGTTCCACATCCTGTTGTCCAACAGTGGTTTGACATGTCGCAATATTTATAGACAATAGTCTGCTTTGTAAGAGAAATGTGTCAATTTTATCAGCCAGTGTACACCCTACTGTCAGAATTTGAACATGAATGCAGTACTTAATTCTTCCACATGTATGATGTTAAACATGTTCCTGTGCCTAAGCACTTCAGCATTGTGGCATACTGGACACCTCTAGCTTTACCATAAACTGAATTTGAGTCGTAGACAATTATATTTCATTTCTTTACTTAGACTATTTCAAAACAAAAACCTGAATATTGTAGGGTTCTCTGTATGTGGTAGAACAATTCTGTCAATTACAGCACACAGAACTTCCAACTATAACAGTAAAGTGGTTAACGTGGAAATCAGGATGTGCCCCCATACTTGACATTTTACCACATAATCACTACTTTAAAGTTCAAAACCTGCATACAGATTTTATGAATAACTCAACCTAAAGATAAAGTTGTCCCTATCTTAACTAATTAAGCACTATGCCATGAAGATACATATATGGGGAAGTGGATGTATAGATCCACGCTTTCTTGACCTTAGCACTAGTTGGAGGTGAGTGGTCAGCTTCACTCCCAGGCTGCTTTAGCCCCAGGAAAAGTCAGTTGCTATACTGAATGCGCTATCCTGACTCTTTGTAACTCAACCTAATGTCATCAGATATTGGAAGATGTACCAGATATGAAATCCTCTTGTGAAGATGTTCATTTCAATGTATGCTGTGAAGAATAAATAAACTATAGCAGAAGTTTATTTACAGTAGAGGTAAGATGTAATTCTCTTTTGTTCATTCATTCATTTATTGTATATTCCATAAATCCATATACATAGATATAGAACCAGTCACATAGAGTTAATATAGTACAATAAATATTATAATAGATAAAAAACATGTGTTAAATTTACAGTCTTACATCACTATACATAAAATTATGCAATATTAAAATTGTTTATGTTATTATCCTTATTTCTAGGCAAATTTGTTACTAAAGAATTCATCACATGTATAAAAAGAGTTCTGCAATAAAAATGTTTTCTCATTTTAATTGTTATGAACTTTTAGTATTATTTTTCTGATTTTTATTCAGTTCTCACTCTGAAAGCTTTATAGCTGACAAATTAACATAGCTTACTACAGTAGTGTGTGTAGTGATATCCTCACTAATTAACAAAATTATTGTACACGGAATTACTGGGTTTATGGACTTTTTCCATCGTCCGGAAATCTAGAATTCTGGACGATGGAAAAAGTCCAAAACCCCAGTAAATCTGTGTCATCCACCATTGTCAGAACCCTTTAAAATTATTGTATTCTGACATGTTCACCAGTTCTGAAGTTGTGTGGTCTTATAAGGGCAGGTACCTTAAATAGATTTGCTGGATAGAGGGCCTCCTAAGCATTGATCTTTACCACTGCTTGTGAACAAAAAATGTGTTCAAGTCATGTGCCACATTTTACAAGATTAACAAGTATAATACTGAGACTGAAGGTTCTCAAAGCCATGACTTGAGATTACATTTGACACAGTGTCACATCCTGGAAGAATGTAATACAGGTATTATGATTTTCTGAAGGCATACCAGTTCATCTTTCAAAAACATATTAACAAACTCCATATTCCTTATTATTATTCTGATTTAATTAAGAATGTAGTCAAATAAATACTATGTAAGATTTGAGGCTTTCACGGCGGTGACTATGAAGAAAGCAGTCTTCTGGGATTTACACGGTGCCAAATCCCAGAAGACTGCTTTCTTCAAATAAATACTAATTCACATATTTCCATTGAACCCATTATGAATGGAATGTTATTGGAAGTTCTCTGTTGGAACTCTTAGATTTCATTTCATTAACAGTAAGAGAAATCACTAGGGAGAGTAAGGCATAGGCTAGGGGGTATATTAAAGTTGGTGCTTAAAGAAATAGAGTGTGAGGGTATGGATAAGAGTCATCTTGCCCTGAATGGGGTCTGAGCACATTAATGAACCTTCAGATTTCATAAAATGCACGGAGTTTCTCAACCACGTGAAAGACTATCAGACAAGACAGTTTACCTTTCTTTCCTTCACAGATGCAAACATACACAGGTAAGATGTGGAATATAGTGTCACGTGTATGAGTGTGACTATTAGATGGTTTGGCTTGGTAATTGGATTTATTGACCACCTATATACACCACTTGGAACTACATAAGCATTAGACACGGTTTGATGAGGGATATTCAAAAGTATTAGATGAAAGGAAACTAGCCAAATTTCAGTGGTTACAGATCAGAGCCACATAAATTGACACTGTCTGAAAAATTTAAGGCATGAAACTTGTAGACATTTCAGGAACAAAAACAGTAATTTAGTGTGTTGCACCACTATTAATTAGCACACTTTCATAAAATGATTGAACTCTCCATGACTTGAGTGCGGTAATAGATGTGCTAATATGGTATTAAAATTTCATTTCATTTTATATAGTGGATAACTTTTATGTACAAAGTTAGATAAGTTGAATTGTTAAATCCCTTTATTAATTCAAAATATTAGCTATATTTATAATCCTTTAAATTGTTACCTTGTAATATTTATATTTATTTGTTAATCTTATATTTATTTTTGACAGACTCTTTTTATGACTGCATGTTCCTTGACTTCCTCTATATCCTACGGTTTTACCAGCCTGGAGTAACAGAAAGAAATGAATGAATGAATAAATAATAAACTTGAATATAGAAATTAGAATTTTAACAGTTTTAAATGTGTTAAAGTATATACTGTATGGATTTAGGGAGGTAAATATGATGCTGATATTATAAATTTAATGGATCATAGGTGTGTAATTTTTTACTGTATTTGTTTTAGTTAATATGGGTATTTTATATGAAATGGTGTAAATACAAGTTTTATAGTAGGTTATTTTTTAAGTATGTCTATTAAATGAAATCTTGTTAAATTCTTTTGCCCTATAATATTATCTATATTTATAGATTGATGTAAGTGTCTTTGTTTTATTGACTCGTGCAATTTTGTGTATGCATGTTTCATGTGTCTGTATTCAAAAGGACTATTTCCACATCCTGGTTTGCTAACCTGTATGGATATATATGGAATAATAAAGAAAGAATGAATGAAAGCGAATGCGTGTAGTTAAAAATCAACAAGCTTGCGGCACAAATTAAGAACATTAGAAATAGAGAGGTATAAATAAATTTAAGAAGGTATACCAACCTAGAACTAACTTGGTTAAGGGATGACAACAGTGATCTGCTTGCAGATTCACATCATTTTGATTCAGATCCTTCCATCTATTCAAACATTTTGAGTAAGTGGAAAGATTACTTTTCTTTGCTAGTGACTGTACATGCAGTTAGTAACGTTAAGCAGGTGGTAGTACATATTGGTGCTATTAGTACCTGAGGCTGGTCCCTTTTATGTTGTAACTGCTACTGCAAAGTTGGAAAAGTATGAATCACCAGGTATTGATTAAATTCAAGCAGGAGATAAAACATTACATTCTGAAATCCATAAACACATTAAGTCCATTTGGAATAAAGAAGAATTGTCACAGCATTGGAAGGAGTCTATTATTTTGTCTGTTTACAAGGGGGGTGATAAAACTGACTGTAGTGATTATAAAAGGATATCATTGTTATCAATTTTGTACAAAGTTTTATCCCACATCCTTCTCAAAAGGTTTAAGTCCATACATAGATGAAATTACTGGGGATCATTAGTGTGGGTTTTGTTGTAATACATCACCTACTGATCAGACTCTTTGCATTCATCAGATACTGTAGAAGAACTGGAGTAAAATGAGACAATACAGCAGCTATTCGTGGACTTCAGGAAAACCCATGATTCAGTCAGGAAGGAAGGAAGTATTGTACAGTATTCTTATTGAGGTTGGCATAGCCATGAAACTGTGTAGTTTGGCTAATTAAAACATGTTTAAATGAAAGCTATAATAAAGTCTGTGCATGTAAATATTGTCTTAAGCTTCTTCTGTTCAGAGTGGTGATGCTTTATTGCCATTACTTTTGACCTTTGATTTAGACTATGCCATTAGAAGGATTTAAAAAACAGAGTGGAACTGGAATTGAATATGACACACTGGCTTCTGGTTTATGTTATGTAAATTATTGGGGGGATAACATAAATACCATAAAGAAAAACAAGTTCTAGTGTACACTGGTCTAGAAGGCTGGTCTAGAAGTAAACACAAAGAAAATTAAGTGTATGTTGGTGTCCTGTCACCAGAATGCAGGACAAAATCGTAACAGACAGATAGATGATAGATCATTCAAAAGTGTGGTGAAGTTCTAATATTTAGGAACATCAGTAAACCAAAATTTCATTCATGAGGAAATTAATATCAAGTTATATTTGGTAATGCTTCCCACTGTTCAGAACCTTTTGTCTTCTCATCTTCTCATCTCATTTGTCAGTGTCTGTACTAGTCTCGTTCCTTCTGATGTTCCTAACAAAACGCTACCATGTATGCTACATACCCGAGCCATCTCAATCTGACTTCATCATTCTAAAGATATCTGGCAAGGAGAACGTTACGAAGATCATCATCCAATTTTCTTCAGCTGATTATTTCACGCCTTTGTCCAAATATTCTCCTCAGCACCCTCAGTCTATATTCTTCCTTTAATGTGTGAAGCCAAGTTTCATACCCATACAAACTCTGATTTTTCCTTCAGGTTTGTATGGGTATGAAACTTGGCTTGACACATTAAGGGAAGAATATAGACTGAGGGTGCTGAGGAGAATATTTGAACAAAGGCGTGAAATAATCAGCTGAAGAAAATTGGATGATGATCTTCGTAACGTTCTCCTTGCCAGATATCTTTAGAATGATGAAGTCAGAATGAGATGGGTCGGGTATGTAGCATACATGGTAGAGAAGAGGAATGCATACAGCATTTTGGTAGGAACATCAGAAGGAACGAGACTACTACAAACACTGACAAATATGGGATCATAATATTAAAATGGATATTAGAAAAATAGGGTTGAGGGTATGTGCTTGAACAGTCAGTCTCAGGATAGGGAGTAGTGGCAGGCTTTTGTAAACATGACAGTGAATCAGGTTTCATAAATAAGTTGGGATGTACTTGAGTGGGTGAGCAGTTACTGGAGTTTCAAAGAATCTTCTTCATGGAGTTGGTGTTCAGAAGGTGAGAAAACACATTCACCCTTATAAAGTGACCATGTGTGTGGCCCTTATGAAATTCAAGCGACTGATAAACAATTATCTTTGTTGTTCTCTTGTGTCACCATAGAGATTACTGGACACCTGACACCTGTCTACCAAACTGCATGACAGATGTTGAATTCGGCGGTTAGTACTTTACACAGTACAATGACATAACACTCCACAAGACAAAAATTTGAGAAATATTTACTGCTGATACAGGAGGAAATATTGCCCGTCTGCATCTGAAATTCAGGCAGAGCACATATAAATGGAAATCATTTGAGGCTCTGTGCTACACATTGGAACGTCATGGGTTTAATTCCTGATGTCATTGGATTTTTTAATTGACCAAACCCAGCTGCACTATGACCTTGAGATTGACTCAGCCTCTAACAGAAGTGAGTACCAGGAATCTTCTGGGGAAAAGGGCGCCCGGTGCATAAGGTTGATGACTTCACCGTAGTCTGTGAGCCGCATGTCTTAAGAGTGGGAGCCAAGACATCTCATAAGACTATGGATAGTTTACCTTTTATTACCTTGATTACTTGGCAGGGATTGCAGGTGCTTGTGTGTGTTCCTTCACATTATTGGCTAAAGCAATCACCTTCCTTAGTCATACACGACTAGTTTACTTGCTTGCTAGTGAATTTGCTGGCATGCAGCGGGTAAACATGAAAATTTAATAACTCTCCATCGCTCACTTTTTAGTGAATAAATTGGCCCACTACTTATCTCGCCTAATTACGTCAGGCCGGTCACAGTAGCCGAGCGGTCTAAGGCATGCAATGTCTTCGCTCGCTCGGAAGCCGGGATCATGGGTTCGAATCCCACTCAGGGCATGGATGTTTGTGTGCGTTTTTCTGTGTTTGTCTACAGGTAGAGGCCTTGCGACGAGCTGATCACTCGCCCAAGGAGTCCTACCACATGTGTAAGATTGAGAAAAACCGAAGTGAACGGAGTTCATGGAGGTAGGCCTAGGCCCACTGGGGCTGTAGCGCCAAGGAAAAAAAATTACATCAGGCTCGTTTTCTGATAGTTTACACGCTGCTAATAAGCAAGTAAACCAGCTTCCTGAAATCCACGTTGTACACACAATTGACTCGTACTTTTTAAATTGACTTTCTATAAAAAAAAAAATAGCGTTTAACATAGTGTGAATAGGTGGAAAAAATATACATTGTTTGTATACCTTGTGTCTATCTTGTACTTGTTGTCCACCTCATTCCAAAGTCATAACCGTCATAACGTTATTTCATTTCAGCTCTGTACGACTTTTCGCACGGAGTAGGCCATGGAATATATGAGCCGAGCATCGTTAGGCAGACCGCCCACCAAACTTGCGCAAATCTGACGTCATTAGAAATTACGCTGGCGTCATTTCTAGCGTTGTGTTACTTGAATAATAGGAAAATAGCATAAAGTGAAGTTTTTGGAGGTAATAGAGTTTTTGGTTTCCTTAACATGCGATTAGCTTTGAGAAGTGTGTGTTGTTGTATGTAACACTTTATAATGACAAAACTGTATGCTAATCCTTGAGTAGATTTTTCAGACAGCTTGTCTGCCCATCCCCCACTTATTAGTAAATATGAGTAAGCTAGGTCAAAAAAAAATATTGTTTATATATAAATAAATATAGTGCGTCAGACATAGGACGTATTTTATCGGTTACTTATAAGGTGTAGTGACAGTGCAGTGGAGGTGTTATCAGCAATATTTACGGCGGTGTGTTGACAGACAGGCGTGATATTTTTCTGGTTTGTTAGAATTTATTATAACGGCGTTGCAGTTATATTATTGCAGGATATTATTCAATAACAGAAATAAACGACCCAAGAAAATTAGGCCACTGTATACATAGAATTTTTTTGTAAATTAAAGTAACGTTTGCAAGGTTAGTTTTATGTCGTACGTTCCATAATGGTGCATTACAGGTAACAGAATTAGTATGTTCAGATTAAAATTAGGGCTTGATAGAAAAATACCAGTATACTGTGCTTTTTAAATTCTAATAAAGGTGTAAAATTTAGTGGCTTATGGTAGTCTGAATACATAACAAATACACTTGCCATAAATTGGTCCACAGTCACGGTTGTTGATTCAGAGGAGAAACGTTGGGTGCACAGTTCCATCTGTGCTGAATAACACAAGCTAGTTGTTCACCTTGTAACGAATTTTTCTAGCCTTTTGGTGTGGTGATGCTGGACTCTCATAGTGAATACTTGCCTTATCTCGTAGTGTACATTTTAGACACATCTCAAAATTATTTTCTGCAAGTCTTGACATTCATTAGCCTAATTCCTCTTCTGCTTCTTCATTAGCTAAAAAGTAAAGTAAAATTAAATGTATTCCTATAACAGGCGTTTGAGGCCCATAGGATTGTGAGATGTTGAGGTTCCCACATTTTCTAGACAGTCGGCTCATAGATGGCAGTAAGATTGTCAGACCTATGCGCAGGCCTCCCTTTACCACCAAGAATATTCCAAGAATACTCCTGGTACTCATTTCTGTTAGAGGCTGAGTTGACCCCAGCGCCATAGTGCTCCTGGAAGGATTAGGTAAATTGAAAAAAATCCAATGGCCTCGTCGGGATAAGATCCCGAAACCTTCCGGCTTGTAGCATAGTTCCTCAACTAACTACGCTACCGCGTGCTAGCAGATTTTACAAATTGCACGTGTTCATATTTTTGTGTCAGAATACTCTCATAGTAATCCAGATCAGATTCCTATGCAGTTTCCATACTTGAGGGCAATGAGATGCAAGTTTTCATAAACAGGTTTCTTGAAAATTATGGTTGCCTGGTTGCCAGTGGCAACAAATCAAGATTTGGCTTGTTCAATTCTGGCACTCTCACTTGGTCATTTGTATCACACAGGAAGTGGTGAACCTCATCGAAAGAAGTTAAGATTGACATAATGATTTGTAATAATTTATCTCTCGAGTAAATTTAAGTTTTTCCATTATTATATGTCATTAATATGAGTGCAGCAAGGTAACACCCTTTTCTGGTGACCAGAATATTTGTTTGGCTACTGGATCTTCAAGGAATATTCACATCCAGGCTTTAAACAGTTTGTGTATTCAATAGTAGTCATTCCATTTTTGATCTTTAAACACTTCTAAGATTTGAGTTATGCACATTGTTTCTTCAAAAGCAAGTTTTAAGAAGTTGTACATTTTGCTTAGTTTGAAATAGAACTGAAGTATATGCACTGTTCTTTAAAGTTTATCATTGTTTGAAAAACATGTTGCATTTAGCAAGCAGTGTTACTTCATAATGCATCATTTCTAAATAACACATCCTACAGTTTTTAAAATAATCACAAACAGTTTAGCAAATTGTATTCTGCTGTTGTTTAGCAGTGTCATTTTGTATATGCAGCCAGTCCAGAAAATATTGGTGGAAAATAGTGGAACAGATGTAGAATTAAATGATGCATGCATGTGAACTGTTGTTGCACACGCCACGTTGATAATTATCGAGAAATTCATAGATGTATCTCTTTGTGAAAATGAAAAGTAATGAATGAAACAATGACAGAGGAACGGTTTTTGTGTAGTTAAGAAAAGGCCAATGGTGCTTGTGAAAGTAAAGTAAAGAGAGAACATAAAGTTGTCATCTAAAGAGAATCTAGATTATTCTCAGTTAAAAAGGTAAAGCTATCCATGTAACAGGCCGTGGAAGCCCGTAGGGTAGTAAGACGTCAGCATAATATAAACCATGGTGTGATGAAGAATACTGTCAAATAATGGATAATATGAAACAGTATAAATTGCAGTGGTTGCAGAATCTGGGCCAAATGAACAATGTAAAATGTTAAAACTAGTACGTATTTCAGGAAGAGGAGGGGGGGGGATCTGAAGAAAGGCAGTAATGTGCTTGGGAGAAACACTGAGAGCAGACATGTCAGAGACTTATGTAGCAGCATAAATGAATTGAAGGTGGACCATGACTGTAAAATGAATTAGATTCCCACAGTATTCTGAATAGTGGAAACATTCCTTCAGTCTGTCATTAAAGTCATCTACATGAAAATGAAATTGTATCTTTGTGAAGCTGTGGCTTCCACAGTGTCAGGAGCACTCCCTATTGCTTTATCTGGTAACCCAGTAAATTCATTTTATTTTCTATCTTCTGAAGGATATCACAAAATATAAGCCTTTTACAAAACTGTGACTATTTTGCCTGCTTGTTCCACAGATGAAATACTTGATACTGGCAGGGGAACATGTAGAATGTACCATAGCAGTATGTGAAGATTTCTGGTAACATTGTTTAGCTGAATGTCAACAATCTTGGTCTGTCCCCCAACTGCTCACGTGGGTATAAGCATTATTATGGTAACATCCCTTCCACCAACTTACAGACTCCATCATAGGGTCCTGTTCTAGTATTGATGTAATATTCTACCATTTGGTTCATTATGTTTTAGTCTTGCATGTTGGTAGTAGGTTGAACTGTTTAAAAATTTCCTGTGAAAAGTGAATTCCTTGCTACTGTGATCCTCACAGTGGGTTGTATGTAATCAGTGAAAAGAAAGTCCGTCTGTCATATTAAATATATTGTAACGTGTTGGCAATCCAGAAGAGTCACTTCCATGGAAACACCAGAATAGACCGTCGCATAGGAAACAACAATCGCTCTATTGTAGTTCCAACACCGAATCTCCACGGTTACGACGAATACGCGAAGTGTTCCCACAGAGACAACACAATAACAATGGTTCATTGCGTAGGAAACGCAGAACCAACAAAGCATCGTTTCCACCGCTATAACAGAGGGTTCGTTGCATAGCAGCGACCAAGGTTATATAGCGGGGTTGAATGCATTCGCACAGTCAGTCTTGGAATAGCCATCTTAGAAGTCAGTCTACATCGAGCCGTCTAAGAAGTGAGTCTTCATCCAGCCTTCTTAGAAGCCAGTCTTGGAACAACCGCTAGAGCAGAGAGTCCAGTACCGCCGGGACATTGTAAGCAGTAGTTGTAACACTGCAAGTGATGACAATTGTAAAGCGTGTGAGTGTATAAGTGAAGAACAATAAAGGTTCTACGGAATTCGAGACCCACGTGAATTTATTTGTAGCGTGACACACAAAACACGCTACACTGGTGTCAGAAGTGGGATAAGACTTATACACGTGACCAACAAGATTCGAACTTAAACACCCACAAACGAATTTTTGTGCATCGAGTACTTCACTGATATAACATGGAGATGCAGCAGATGATGGAACTGCTGCTGAAAGAATTCAGAGCCACCAAAGAAGATTTCCTGGCTAAATTGGATGTCAACGAGGCCAATAGAAAAGCTGACATGGAGGAAAGGAAGGCGGAGAAGAAAGAATTGCTGGCCTTAATGGAGGCAAACCAAATAAGGCCGACGCCACAAAGAGATGATGGCCGATTGGAAAGCATGGTGAGAAATGGCCGCCATGTGAGCCAAGAAGTTGACAGACGATACGAACGCCTGGGGGGAGGAGAGGAGAACTAGCCGCAAGAAGATAGTGCCTGAAACGGAAGAAGAAATGACTGCCTACCGGGAAATGGAGGCACATCAAGAAGAAGAGCCAACCTCCGTAGAAACGAAACCTGAGGTGGCAGAGCATCAAGAAGTCCCCGTAGATGACGCCCCGAGAATACCGGTCGGAGAACCAAAGGAGAGGCGTAGGGACCAAGGACTGGCCGCGGAGCGCCGCCGCCAGAAAGCAAAGGATTTGCAACGGGAAAGTCGTGGACCCCAGATGAAATTGGCCGTCACCCGAGAGAAAGCGGCACGGCGAACGCCAATAGACAAGAGGATGTCCCGTCATGCGACAGTGGCACGACGCAAGAGAGACATCATGAAGAAGAATCTTACTCGGGGAGCTGGCGGACTCCCGAGGAAGCAACTGACCATGGCCGACAACAAGATAACCCGCCACGCAAATGTGGTACAGTACAAGAGACCCAGATCTCAGGGAGGCCGGTTTGGGTTACGCTCAAGCCCACATAAGGATGGGTCAGAATGGAGACGAAAGGAAATCGAACGCAAGAGGACGGCAGAAGAATCCGCCATGAAGGGCATCAAAAGTTGGACACTGTGGAGGGGTCGACCCCCTCCAAAACGGAAAAAGGGAAACGGCCCTTATGGGAGGAACTGGTAAAGTACCGGCCTCCCCAACAAGGATGCATGAAGAATGAAAGTGAAGGATGAATGTGAGACAACAAGATCGGCAAATTTTCGGCTATGGAAGTGCTCAGGACAAGCACAACTGAAGAGAGGGGCGGATGCTGCAAAACGAACGGCGCAATAAGACGCGCAAAGGACACCAAGGCCGAATGCAGACGTTGCCAGCAGAACACCGCGGAATCGACCGAGGGAGAACCTTTAGGCTGTTCGGGGATGAACAACCTTTAGAAGGGAGCAATGTAACGTGTCGGCAATCCAGAAGAGTCACTTCCATGGAAACGCCAGAATAGACCGTTGCATAGGAAACAACAATCGCTCTATTGTAGTTTCAACACCGAATCTCCATGGTTACGACGAATACGCGAAGCATTCTCACAGAGACAACGCAATAACAATGGGTCATTGCGTAGGAAACGCGGAACCAACAAAGCAACGTTTCCACCGCTATAACAGAGGGTTCGTTGCATAGCAGCGACCAAGGTTATATAGCGGGGTTGAATGCATTTGCACAGTCAGTCTTCATCGAGCCATCTAAGAAGTGAGTCTTCATCCAGCCTGCTTAGAAGCCAGTCTTGGAACAACCGCCAGAGCAGAGAGTCCAGTACCGCCGGGACATTGTAAGCAGTAGTTGTAACACTGCAAGTGATGACAATTGTAAAGCGTGTGAGTGTATAAGTGAAGAACAATAAAGGTTCTACGGAATTCGAGACCCACGTGAATTTATTTGTAGCGTGACACACAAAACACGCAACAATATTTTAAATTTACTGGGATTGTAAATATGATTAGTCTCTCAACTATATTATTTCAGTAACATATACACTTAGGTTTTCTTAATTCTAATAAAATCTAAAATGTGGCCCATGGCCACTTGCTTTCAAATTCCTTGCAAACTCATTCACTAATCATTATACCATTGGATGCTATATTGTTTCAGATAGTGTCAGTGGTATAAAATATACCACAAACCTACCATCATCTGCTACAAAAACAACTGAAGAAATTAAACAGTTGAGTGTTACTTGACATGCATGTTATCCTGCTGTGGTTCAGATGACCAAATGTTTCTGTGAATTTAAACATTTGAGGGTACTAAGAAATTCAACCATAACAATCTGTGAACTGGTTCGAAAAGTATTGGGAAGGGGTGGCAGGCAAGCAGGCGCAGATATCATGCTACAACAAGTCTACTTTACATGGTGTGTTCAAAAAGTATTGAACCTTTGGTCGGCAGAAATACATTTATTGATTTGGAGGTACAAAACCCTAATCCCCTTCAAAGTAGTCCTTGGTAATGAACACACTTCTCTCAGCGCTTCCACCATTGTTGGAAACACTTCTGGAACACGTCTTTTCGAATGGTGATCAGCCGGGCCGTCGCATTCCGCATGATGTCTTCTCTTGACTCAAATCGGGTTCCTTTCAGCGGCATTTTGAGCTTGGGAAATAGCCAAAAGTCATACGGAGCCATGTCAGGGGAGTAGGGAGTCTGACGAACCACAGGGATGTTGTGTTTGGCGACAAAAGTCTGAATCAGATGCGCAGAATCGGCGCGTGCGTTATCATGATGGAGCTGCCAAGTTTTTGCTGCCCACAGATCTGGTCGTTTGCGCTGCACAGCATCACGAAGGTGACAAAGGACCTTGTAGTAGTATTTCTTTGTGATGGTTTGGCCTTGTGGTGCGTACTCATGATGTACAACCCCACGGGAGTCAAAGAAAACGGCCAACATGACCTTGACATTGCTGCGGACCTGCCGTGCTTTTTTGGCCCCAGGGATGTCGGATGTTTCCACTGTGAGGACTGCATCTTGGTTTCCAGGTCATACCCATAAACCCACGATTCATCGCCTGTGATCATGGTGTTCAGAAAGTTGGGGATACTGTTTGCATTGTCCAGCATGTCCTGTGCAATTTCCAGACAGTGTTGCTTCTGCTCCATTGTTAGCAGTTTTGGTACTAATTTTGCGGACACTCTCCTCATGCCCAAATCCTCGGTCAAAATTGAATGTACCGATGCAATATCGCTGCTCATGTTCCGTCATTTAAACCTTACTGGAATCCGACGAGCGCTCACTACACATCCTCACTCATAGGCCGAATGCCAGCAACTGATGCTTTCTGTGGGTAGGAAAAAATTCACGACTGCGCATGAATGTCCCCTCCACATCTCCACCAAAGGGAGCCTCCTGTGCTTCATTGGTTTACGCAGGAAAAAAGAAGGTTCGATACTTTTTGAACACACCACGTATGTTACAAAGGATGTAAGTTACAAATTATGCACGGTAAGAACGTCCAATATTAAAAACAACTCAGCATTAAAAGACACAGTGAAAGATGTTTATTTCAGTCTTATAATGGTTGGTCATTCCATTATAGTATACATTGACCCCTACCATATCCACTAATATACATGGCTGTACGTGTGTTTGTAATGTTACTACTAACTGTCAGACACTAATTGTCAATATTGTGACATGTTGACCCCTACCTCCCCAGCGGTAACGTAACGCTCGCGTAATAGGCGAGTTCCCGCCCCGCCACTCCCCTCCGCGGTGACGTCACCGAGGGATATCGCGGTCGCTAGGCAACGCGAATCAACAGCGGCGACGTTACGATAGTAACAGCGGTGACCTCCGCTAGCGTTACATAGCAACACAGCGCCAGGCAAAAAGGGTGCCTATTACGTGGCTGTATTGTCCGATCGAGGTTACATAAGGAGCAGCGCAGGCTATTCCCAGTTAGTTGTACTGAGTTCTAGTGTGGCTACCGCAGAGTTGTACTGAGACAGTCAGCGAGTCCTGGAGCTACCGCCGAGTTAGCCAGCAACTAGTCAGTTGTATTGTGGCATTTGGAGTGTACTATTTGTGATACTGCAGATAGCAGTAATCGTAAATCTGTAATTTGGGTGACTGTAAGTGCGAATGTGAAATAAGATTCGCTATACCAAATACATCGTGAAGTTATTTGTCGCGATATACGCCCGATATGCGACAATATGAATATAATACAACATAATAAATAAGATATAAAAGCTAGCTGATATGAGTGAATGTATAACTCACCTTTTTCCTGCCTTCGAGGTAATTTGTTCAACATTGGACCTGCAATCACTGACTGATGGCATTGGTCTGTGTGAAGCACATGCCATTCCAGGTGTTCTTGTCAGTGTTGAGCAGATAACTTAAATTACTCACATATGAATGTGTAAAATATAAATGGAATGAGATTAGCTCTTTCTAAGGGACCCAAGAGAGTAGGTGTCTCCCCCCCCCCCCAACTGAGGAGGGGAACAGATCGAGTTTCTGAAACTTTCTGTTTTCTAATTTCTAGAATACTGGATGACAGACAAGCCCAAAAACCCATTAAGTCTGAGAACCATGTTCTATTTATGAACATAAACAGGAATATTGTTTGACCAGTTATCCTGACAGGGTGTTTCAGCAATTTATCTTTTGTGTTCTAGGCATATCCTGCAGTTTTATCTCACACATCCTCTATGTCACTCACCATTCATTATTATCCTAACACTATACATGTAAGTCTTAATCACTCTGCATTTGAAACAGGGTTGTTACAGCTGATTCTCCAGTTCATGCACTGTGGAAGGAGTGATATTAAATAGCTTGCGCTTTACAAATGCTGATAATATGTTCATGAATGGCAAGAAAACTGTGCTGAGTAGAATTTGCCATGTGCCAGAAAATGAATGAATAGGTCTATAGAAATATTGTTGCCCACTCACCACAGGAGAGTTAGTAGAGACTGGTGTCATATAATGTATTAGTATTGTCACATGTGAGAGTGTCTCTTGACGGATTTGAATTGGAGATTGGATTTATTGACTGCTTACAGGTTGTAACCACAGATAACTATAACACTGTTGCTAATTTCCACACTTTACAGATTGTAACAATGGAGATTCTTTAACTTAGCTGACCAAGTGTTCGCTTAACAGGCTCGCTTACTGCTGACTATGTTACAAGTCTGACACACTTCAAAACCCGTCTCGGTTATAACGTCCTGGCACGGACCCTGTAGAAAACACCATTTATTGTTATACTCCTTCATTTTGTAGGGGAACATGTTTGTTTGCAAAGGCATTACTCAGTAATGGCTCTGTATACTTGCTTGTTAAGAATCTGTTGCAAGCAACCAGTGTTGTTTCTTTGTTTTGAGGTTGTTACCCAGTAACAGCTGCACATGCTGCTGATCTGTCGGCAAGTGGCTAATACATTTAATTTGTACTCGTGGAATCTCAGATGTAAGAATTTGCAGTCACAGAAATCTCCCACAATCATACAACTATTTGTGCAGCAATGTAATTAAAAATGAAAATTGTATGGCTGCATTGTGGATTGCCCACAGAATGGAATCTCTTACAGTATATTATTCCCTGTCAAACGGGGTATTTTAGCCTATAATATTGGCTTAATATTAATGTTTTCTTCACACTGTTATACAAATCATTGATGCTGTAATGCTAAACTATCATACTTACAGATCACTTTTCAGGCTGTGCTATAGCTCAAGCAGTTAGTCGCTGGCTTCCCACCGCGGCAGCCCAGGTTCGATCCCGGGTCTCATCAAGTGGGATTTGTGGTGGACAAAGTGGCGCTGGGGCAGGTTTTCTATGAGTACTTCAGTTTCCCCTGCCAATATTCATTCCACCAATTGCTCCACAGTCACCCTCACCCATCATCTGGGGCTGGTACAATAGGCCAGAAGTGGCCACAGTACAAGAGACTTAGTCCCACCCCACTAGCAATAAAAAAAAAACACAAATAACCTTTGTGACAGTGTGTTTGTCTCACCTTCCCATTAGTGTTACAGCTCTCTCCTATAGAGAAATGCTTTCAGTTGTGACAGTTGGTGTGTTTGCAGGCAGATTTATTTGTATGTGGCTTCATGTTAATTACATGTGTGTTTCTATGTGTACAAACATGCAGTCAGACATCAAACAGTCCTTTTTTATGTTTAGCAGTTTGTAGTAAGATTGCATATTAATTTTACATGTTTAAGATATGCCAAATTCAAAATTGGAAGTACAAGATATAAACTATTGGCTAACAGAAACACTAAAAAAATAAGTGATTTTTATCTGTTTTGTAAGTTCATTTACCAGTGATGGTAGGTGGCTAGTAGATAATCTAATATGAATGATTTTAGAAATTTTCTTTTAAGAAAGCCAGTAGTTTATTTGTTTTGTTAATTTTATTCCATTTCATTTTTCACAGTGATTTTGTCCTTAAAGAAAAACTTGGTTTCAGTAGATGATCTGCTGCAGAAGTGTAAATACCAAATGAACACTGTAGATTTTGAAGTGTTGGTAAGATGGAAGGGAGCTAAACACTTTGGAATGTGTATGGTATGGTGACACAAATATTGACCTTACAAACGAGATGAAGTGTATTGCTGAGGTTTTTTTTTGTAAGGAAGGAAATACATGATGTATTATGGTACTTGTGTACTAATGTGTCAAGTAAATTTAAAATTCACCACTTAGGGAGGTTTGTTTGAGCCTGCCTATATACAAATCTGACAGCCATAAAGAAGGGGAGACTGTTAGTCTCAGATTGCTGGTGTTTGTATTCTGGCTCCTTTTTGCAAGCTTCTATGGTGCAATGACAGAAAACTTTGATTAAATATATAGCTTCGTAAAATGCTTGTTATTACGCTTGTTTTCACATGACTGAATCACACTTATTTAACAAATTCATTGCCTCTTCTTCAGTTCTTGACACACCCCACAAATTCATTATTTTGAAAGGAATTCATGATGTAAAATAACTGATACTTAGGGCGAAAGTTGGGGAATTATTATTGGGGTCAAAATATGTGTTGAATATACATGTGAATATAACACATTGTAAATATCAATATTACTTTTTTTCACACAGTATCATCAGATTTCTTTTTTCATATCCTTCAGACAGATACTATGATGGTACCTTAAATGAGTCCAGAGCTAGTTCCTGCAAAACTTTTCCTGATTCATCATTTATCACTCTCCTAGTCAGTGTTCTGTAGCTGACACAGCATGTTTAAATAAAGTAAGTAGCAATAGCTATATCTTTCTACAGAATACAGCTTGTTGATACATTAATTGTATTATTTCTTTGTAGATTGCTGTTTTCATAATGATAAAAACAAATAGCATGCCTGATTGTTATTTATCTTTCACAGATGTATGTTTATCTGTTGAGACAATTTGCTAAGAGTATTCATACATATAGACATATTGCACTAAACATTTCTTCTACAAGTTACTCATCAGATTTCATATATTCATCTGGATGATACATTATGTTCATTAAGGTCTTGTGTGTAAGTTGTACATTTGAAATCTTTCTGAAGACAAACATTAAATATGTTTATTCTTTGCAGATTAGCTCTTGAACATAATTAGAAGCCAAGTATGTCAATACAACAGTTCTGTTTGCGGTGGAATAATCACCAGCCCAACTTCATATCAGTTTTCACAAACTTGCTGAACAGTGAATCGTTGGTAGATGTTACGTTGGCAGCTGAAGGAAGGCACTTGCAGGCTCACAGGGTTGTCCTTTCAGCATGCAGTACATATTTTCAGGTACCTGCGATTTCTTTCTTACTGTTACAGAAAGGTGGGGAATTTATTGACCACCTGAGCAACTGCTAGTTTAAGAAGAAAGATTGTACTCCATTGAAAATCCCTAACTTTATGGATCACAGTCTTGCAAAGCGAGTGGTCTCCTTGTTAGACAATGAATTCCATGCCTTTTATGAAAACTTGAAGGCTCATGAGCCCACCACTGCTCTCAGTCCTGAACCACATTCTCTTACCCTCTTCCTTTAATATCCCTTTCAATGTTATCATCCCATCTAGGCCTAAGTCTTCCAGTTTATCTCTTTACATCAGGCTTTCAGATCAAAACCCTGTATGCATTTCCCATTTCTGCCACACATGTTACATGCCCTGCCTTTCTCATCCTACTTGATTTGATTGTCCTTGTAGTAATTGGCAAAGGGTACAAATCACAAAGCTGTTCAGTATGCAGTTTTCTCGAGATTCCTATTATTCTGCTTCACCATTCTGTATTATTCAATTTTGGAGGTGCACCATTTTAAATTCAACCCCCCCCCCCCCTTGTGAAGATTTTCAGAAACGACACAAAGGTAATTCCTCCAAATCTTAGTTTTAACTTAAATTCCCTGTAGCAACATGGGCTACGTATCTTGTTTAGGATGAAAGTCCAGATGCAAATAGATGGGAAATGTGTTGAAATTTGAGAGTGTTGTATCACCATAGCATGGTGCATCCTCAAGTTGTGGATGGAGAAGGTGGCCTCCAAATATGGAAGGTAGCTGCAAATATATTGAATAAGCAGTTGCGGACATCTGACAAGGGGTGGTCCTCACGCTTGGGGGTTGTGCATTGTACTAACAACTGACCATAAAAAATAAGCTTGTTACAAAATGTCACAAAGGGCCTCGGGCTTGGACAGATTATTTGGATAAACGACCTAAACTAAGGAAGTGAACATGAGATTTGGTACATGGAATGTAAGAAGTCTGTATTGGCCAGGTTCACGTGTGACAGTTGTGAAAGAAATATAAAAATATAAGTTAGATTTAGTGGGAGTACAGGAGGTCAGTCGGGACAGAGGTGGCACTGAACAAACAGGCAAATATACATTCTTCTAAGGAAAAAGAAATGAGAATCATGAATTAGGTACAAATTTTTTTGTACATAAGAGAATCATTTTGACTGCCTCTGTGGTCTAGTGATCAGAGGTCCTGGGTTCGAGTCCTGACACTACCATATTTTCTGAGAAGTAGTGGGTCTGGAACAGGGTCCACTCAGCCTCATGAGGACAGTTGAGGAGGTATTTCAAGGAAATATCTCCTGTATAGAAAACTGAGATTAATGGCCGTGGGGAACCATTGCTCTGACCACATGACACCCCCTGTCTGGAAAAGTTGGCACTAACTTCGCAGGCAAGCGGCAGTCGCTCAGTCAGTAAAGTTAGCTTGTGGACTACAGACCACGGTTTTTTTAAGAGAATTGTATCAGTATTTCAGAGGACAGATTTTGTTAGTGATATCGCCATACACAATACTAACAGGTCACCGGTGTCTTATCATATATTTGCTAAATGCCCTAAATACCATATGAAAATTCTTGCCAGCAGTCATTCCATCTCCGTCATGTGGCAGTATAATACTTTATGCATTTGTAAATTCAATAATTCATTCTAACTTGTGGCATATTTAAGTTTTTAGCCAATTCTGACACCAGTTATAATATTTTTCGATTTATTCCACTTATACAGAACACATAATTACAGCACTACCACTAATTTCCACACTTCGCAATTCACTATTACACATGCTAGTGACCTAAGTCTGTTAGTCCACACACTGTCCATTTCCTGACAATGTACCACTTTTGACAGTATCACTGAATTACTCCAAATATCACAGTACTACAGCAACCCTAGAATGGTTCCCTGAAAAGGTGCGAGGCAGTCCAGGTGTACCACCATCATCCTCGATCAAGGGTTCCACTGGATCCTGTACACCACATCGTTTATCCACGTGACTAACCTGTATGAGCCTGTTCACAACACTTGGAGGTTGGATGACTTTCATTCAGTCTGGGGTTTAATAATAGAATCACACTTGGTCACCTCCCTGCCAGGCATTCGTAACTCACTTTCATTCTGTCACTGTCATGCATTTATCTCTTCTTCCAGGCGTTGACCTTGGCCTGTATCTTGCTATAGTCAAGCTTCTGGTGATATACTATATATACTAAATATCTTCACATGATTCAGTAGGCCTGTGATAAGTGTTTCTCCAAGACACTACCTTGGCTCTCACTGCCTTGAGACTGGGGGAGTGGGTGGTGCCAAAGCCACCCTCACCTTGTTCATTGGGACTTTCTTCTCGGCTGTAGCCTTGGAAGGTACAGTGCAGTTTTTCTTGGGTCTCCCCATCTTGACATGGGACTCAATGGTTGCTGGATAACCTCCTGTCTTTTCCCTAAACATCAAAGTCAATCTCTCCATCATAATCTTCACTGAATCAAGGTCATTCTGAGAGTGAAAAGGGTGTTCATCCCCCACCTCCATTATTACCGTCATTGTATCTAAAATATTCTGGAATTGGAGACGTTGCTCTTTCACTATCTTCAGGACTTGAACACAGCATTCGTCTTCCACCTTTGTAACTGTCGTCATTAAATCCACCTCATTCTGGAACTGGGCATGATATTCTACCAACTTTTGCAAAAACGCTCTCTTACCTCTCAACTCTAGCATTAAACTTTCGCATGTCAACTTAATGTCTATTATTTATCATCTGTCAATATTGCAACACTCTTCCATTCACCATTCAATTGTAGTTTAACATTATACATCTTGACATACATGTTTCGGCCCCAAAAGGCCATCTTCAGGTGTCTTTAATATGTTACAAATATTTTATTAAAGTATGTTAAAACTGCTACACTGTCTTAGTTCATGTTAAAATCACACGCTGTAGTCATCTTTCCAAGGTAAAACCAGATAAAATCCTTCTAAAGTTTCTATTATACCCACGTTATTTTGGTGCATATTATTTCACCTCACACAGGGTGTCATCCATTTTCATAAATGTATGTCTCTCCAGGGTGTTTTGTCTTGGCAGCTTGCCCATCATGTCCGTAGCCTAGTTTTCAGTTATGACTGCCATATGCCCCTAGTTTGTCTTTACAACACCACACGCTGTGGAGGAAACATGCAAACCAGGGGCATATGGCAGTCATAACTGAAAACTAGGCTACGGACATGATGGGCAAGCTGCCAAGACAAAACACCCTGGAGAGACATACATTTATGAAAATGGATGACACCCTGTGTGAGGTGAAATAATATGCACCAAAATAACGTGGGTATAATAGAAACTTTAAAAGGATTTTATCTGGTTTTACCTTGAAAAGATGACTACAGCGTGTGATTTTAACATGAAGTAAGACAGTGTAGCAGTTTTAACATACTTTAATAAAATATTTGTAACATATCAAAGACACCTGAAGATGGCCTTTTGGGGCCGAAACATGTATGTCAAGATGTATAATGTTAAACTACAATTGAATGGTGAATGGAAGAGTGTTGCAATATTGACAGATGATGAATAGTAGACGTTAAGTTGAACAATTGCAATGGGATGCTGAAATACAGAATCTTTCACATGCCTGTAACACCATCCTGAGCTCCTGTTTTGTTCGCTCCTCCCTGTATGAGATGCGTCGAAAGTGACGATACTTCTTCAAAGAAATAAGGAGTCTGATGAGGGTGGCAATCAGGAAGTCAAGAATCATCCAGACATTCTGGTCTTGTGATGGTAAGTTCCATGGCTGAAATGCTTAGGACAAGGCTCCATTTCGTTTGTTGTGGTGGGAGGTGTCTGATGGAATTTTTTCGGAGGCTGGAATGGGCGCGAAAGCTTGGATCACTTCGGATGCTGGGATTATGAGGAATAATCCTGCTTTGCTAAGTGGTGCCACAAAAAATATGCAGGATATGATCACGATTGATATTTCCAGTAATGTCCTTATTTTTTCTTCTTCACCAAAAAGGACTTTGATACCACCAAGTATGAGTACACACCTCCTGAGTTGAACACACTGACTTCCAACTGCAGTAGTTTTCACGTATTTATAACAGGAGAGCTATGTAAGTCTCACTGGATTACACACTCCCAATTCTCGCTGCACTATACCACACATAAAGTCTTGGAGTCACACAATAAGTCTTCACTGGCTGTCTTCTCAGCTATCACTCACTGTCACTGACTATTACACCCATAAAATCTTCTGATCACACTTTAGATTCTTACAGGCAGACCTCCTGTATTCTTCTGTACTCCGTTCGCATGCTTCTCTCATAAAGCATGACTAACTCCTGCTGACTGTTAGGAATTTAATTTCTCCTATAAACTCTCCATCAGACAAGCAGGAAATGCAACTTGCACTCTGTTGTGTAATCGCCGTGTTTACAGAGGCAATGCTGCCGAGTGATGTTTATTGCAACGCCACATAGCAACCAGTGCAGTGCGGGTGGGCTTGGCTCGGCACAGCACAGCACGGCACAGAGAAAACATCGCTTTCCTTGTTGTTGTGTAATAGTCATGTTTACAGATTTCAACAATTCCTGCATGGCATAAATATGCCACATTATTCAATTATGGCCTACAGAATGCTAGTCAAAATTCATATGCCTCCAAATTATGGAGCAAGAATCCAGTATTGTAAGTTGTTTCAGGAACTAATGATTAATGGATGTCTTCATACACACCTTGTATCTTTGTTTACTTAAGTAGCTGCATAACATTAATGTATTAATAGAACCAGTGTTGAAGTTCAGAAGCTCGTCATGTAGTTTATGAATTCAAGACAGCGGTTTTGTTGTGCTTCTAGAAATATTTTCTCACTATGCAAAACTTACATAGAAGCCAAAAGTTGTCATTCTGAGAATCTTCTATAAAGTAAGGTGAATTAAATTGCATTTCTTGGCAGTAGTTTGCTATCTTTGCAGTGAGTTGTCCATTGACACTGTGGTGCTCAGTTCCACGTGTTATATCATTCCATACTGTGTGAGGTTGTATTTCTGTTGTACTTTCATTCTCAGTAAAGGCCTGAGTAAGGACATGGGTGTCCTTTGGATTCATCCACATTCATTATTATTAAACATGCTGTGTAGATTAAAATAAAATGCGAAGTCATCATCCAGTTATATCTTATTTTTCTTCTTAAGTACTACTACATTCACATCAAGTCCTGTACTACAGCTCCAAGACAGTGATGCTAAAAAAAGGAGTATGAGAGTGTAATACATGATATAACACAGTGCAGTGCCAATTTCATAAAATTGTTTGGATTTGTTGCATTGGTTTCCACGCAAGTACCTCTGATAACATTGTATCATTATACATAAATGATTTAGATGATTTAAATCTTTTATGTACTGCACGTAATGCAAATTTTCCTTTCACATTTGGTCTCCCCCCTGAAGATGGTCATCTTATGACCAAAAAGATGTCAAGGATATAATTATATTTAATTAGTAAAATGGAAATAAATTAGGCAGACTTTAATGGTGATTTCACATGTTGTCTTAGTACATGAAGTATATCAGAAATATGTACTTAAATTTTGTCCTGTAGAATTCGTTAATGTGTACCTTGATCCTTTGTTTTGTTACACAATAATTTATGTTATCAATGAACATAAATTATCATTTAATTATTTTGGTTTTTCTTTTCAGACATTGTTCTCTGTGAATCCATGTCAGCATCCCATAGTAATTTTGAAAGATGTGAAGTACAATGATCTCAAGACAATGGTGGACTTCATGTATTATGGTGAAGTAAATGTTTCACATGATCAGCTTCCAGCTATTTTAAAGGTATAGCATAAATATTAAAAATCCTTTTTTTTTCTAAGTTGTTATATCAGGCAATTTGTATGGAATTGGGAAAGAAAAGGACTTTGATAAGAGCCTCCTGATAGGCAGGATATTAATTCGCTGTTAAAAAAACATTACAGATTAAGATCTCTGTGGTTGGGATGTTATTTGTGAGTCTGTTTACTAGGTTATTCAGCATTCTGTAGGCAGACTTTAGGATATTGTTGATGTAATTTGAAAAGACAGTTGTCTAATTCACCACTATTTCAGATTTATGATGTTTGAAACTTTTTAGTCTTGATATTGTGTGTGTGTGTGTTGGCAAGCGCGCATGTGCACATGTGCATGTTGCATTAAGGGATGCCAGTATCATCATCTAGATCACAAAGGTTCCAACAGACGTGTCTGCAGCAGCACACCACAGTCTGAAGGAAATGTGCATTCTTGCCACCAACACATATTGGCCATGGCAGATACACTGTGCAGAATAAAGAAACTATGGTCAATGCTGTATTTGGTATTCCACCAAGTAGCATTTGTGGAGTCATGTATGAAACATAGCTCTCTCAGAATGTAGTTTGGCATACTACATGAAGAGCAGTTGTATTCCTTTCATGCACAACATAAGCAAGAGCAACAGTCAGGGGACTGTAAACTTTGCCCCCAGGTATGTCAGAAGCTTGTACACAGAACTGTAGATGAACCTGACTTCTTATACCAGGTGTTGTGGAGTGATCAGGCAGGATTCAGAAGGATCTGGATAAATGGTCCACACATACTCGCATGGGCACTGGAGAATTGTAATGCTACTTGATGTTCATCATTTCAGCTAAGATAGAGCATCAGCATTTGGATAGGAATTGTGTATGATTGATTAATGGGATCATGTGTGTTACTGAATTGTCTTGTGGAATCCTGTATGTTGATTCCATTCAAAAAACATATCATCTTCTGTTCATGAGGACATGTGGTTTCAGCATGACAGTGCTAATCCCCCTTTTCACTCCAAGTGCATATTTGGTTGAACAGCCATTTTCAAAACACATGGATTGGGCGTCGGTGCGTTCAGTTGTCTGGCCTCCACAGTCACCTGATCTGAAACCACTTGATTTTTTCTTCTGGGGATGCTTCAAGGGAAATGTTCTTGCTGTTGTACAATAATATCATGAGAACCTGATCATTTTCGCCCAGATAGTTGTGACGGATATTAGGAGATATCCAAGACAGTTGGTTCAGTGATTCCATTCAACATTGTCGCAAGTCATGCATGTGAATTCAAAGAGAGGTCTGAGCAGCATAGAACTGTGTGAGACCCCCCCAAAACATAATCAGGTACTTCTGTTAAATGTGATATAAAATTCAAATTTAAAAGGACCATTAGCTTTGGAATGTGTGATTCTCATTTATTGTATTTAAAAGTAGTAAATGAAGATCTTAAATGTAAATGGCTGACTGTATACATTAATGTAAAATTATTTCATTCTCTTATAAAATGGCAAGACTATAACCCATTAAGGGAGATGAATCAGATGATTTATTTACAGTTTCTGCTCCAGATTATGTCCAGCAGCTCTTCTAAAGTTTTACCATAGGACACTGAATAACTCTGTATAACTTTCAGCTACATCATCCTTCTCTAATCATGCACTACCATAATTTTTTCTTCACCGTAGTATCACGAATTCCCTTCATTCATACAAGTTTTTGACCTTTTTTTTTTATGGTATCAACTTGAGCATTTGTTTTGACTGCCTACTGTCTGCTGTTCTTTGGACATGTCTGTATCATATTCACACTTTCAGTCCTGTATCCTGGGTTTTTGTTCACTAGTTTCTTGTTCTGACTACCTACCATATCTGAAAAAGTTGGAAAGTAAGACTCAGTGATGACAAAGAATTTCTCCCTCAGAATGCGCTTTGAGCATGTACGTGTTTCTTCTGTTACTAGATTGAGCATGTAGCTGCATTGCCATTTGTTGGATGCATGCAGATCATTTTCTGTACAATTTTTACCCTGAAATATTGCATACCACTAGTGTCCTGCTAAGAATGGCAAGTATTTATTATTATTATTATTATTATTATTATTATTAGAGGGGGTGGGTTTCCCCATGCACTTAGACCTGTTATTGGTCCATTGTGCGTTCCCCTTTAATTTCTACTGNTAAGTCCCTCCCAGAGAACTTGTTCCCTGAATTTTTCTGCCCTTGAAAATTCCACAACCTCCGCCGGGTTTGAACCCACGTACCTTGAGTCATGAGGTGGGCACGTTACCCCTAGACTACAGAGGCCGCTCCCTCCACAAGTAAGTTTTTCTTTATTTTCTCTGTCAACTGCAGTACCTTCTAACCATAAAATACAACATTTTATTTAGTTTCCTTTGTAACTTCTTTATTCCATAATGTACCATTCATATTCAAGATTTCATAATGTGTAAACATTGCATACTCCAGCCTCTGAAATGCCTCTGTTTGAATACTTGACTTTTAAGTGTGCTGGTTAGTGTTGTGTGTCTTGCCATGTTAAACTATAATCAGTCAACATAGTACAAACTGCATCCATCATTGAGACTGCTAAAACAAAGGCAAGTAACTGAGTAGTTTCAGGGGATTTGTAGAGACAAAATGAAATGGCATACCATTTCCAGATGTGACAATATTGTCATGATTGAGGGGTGAATGACTATAGACGGGTTATGGATTGGTGAATTGGATTTATTGACCACTTGGAACTACACTTTATAGTTCACAGGCACATACAGACTAGTGTCCTCAGTCTATTACAATATCCACTAGCCGTTAATAGTCAAGTCTGTATTAGAGATGTCAATAGGCAGTCAACATTTATTCTGAAGTGAAGTTCACTATTGAACAGAGTTTGTTTATTGTCAAATTTTTTGCAAGGGAAAAAACTTACAGAAAATGTATCTGTAAGTTTCGTTGTAAATATCCTGATTCGCCCCTTCCCACAAAGTCATGTGTATCCAAGCTTGTGAAAAAGTGGCGAGCCACGGGCTCAGTGTGTGACATAAAGAAGCAATCGAAGAGGATTGAGCTGACTGAAGAAAAGGCTAGGGATATTGAGGCACGACTACAGATCAGTCCTTGAAAATTGTTAAGACACTTAGCACAGGGAACCGGTGTTTTGCTAGGATCTGCTTTCACAGCCACAAAATTAATCAAATTTCACCCATAACAAAACAATAGTTGTACATGAGCTGAAACAACCAGATTATGCAGCAAGAATTCGTTTTTGCAACTGGCTGCTGCAAAATGTGCACAAAGGAATCGTGGATCCACAACTTCTGTTCATGACTGATGAGGCGTGGTTTCACATTAGTGGCCATGTCAACACACAGAATTTAAGGATATGGAGCGATGAAAATCCTCATGCTATACAAGTGCCATTACATAAGGAAAAGGCGGGTGTGTGGTGTGCTGTAAGTCCGCAGCGAATCATCGGCCCTCTCTTTTTCCACAAAACCATGAACTTTGACCGCTACGTTAATGATATACTGAATCCGTTCTTCAATCAGCTGACTGCTGAAGAAAAACAATATGGATATTTTCAGCAAGACAGTGCTACAGCACATATGGCTCATGCAACCATGGTCGCAGTACGGGAAGTGTTTGAAGACAGAGTAATCAGCAGGGGACTGTGGCCTCCCACATCCCAAGATCTGAGTTTTGCGATTTTTATCTTAGGGGAAACCTAAAGGGAAAAGTCTACAAGAATAATCCTTGCACCACTGAAGCTCTGCAGATTGAAATAACACATATAACTGGTTCAATTACCATGGACCAACTTCAGACAGTGTTGCATAATTTATTTATGCGATGCGAGGCATGTTTGCAAGTGGAAGGGGGTCACTTTCAGCACCTGTTATAAAGCACAGTAAGTTTGTGTTTTCTTTTTTACACTATTCATATAAATATGTGAATGTACAGAAACTGATGTGAGGGAATAGTCACAGAAAAACATTCCATCCGCTCTACGCTAGCAAGAGTGCGCGCATTTATCAGCACTAATGACTCATTCCGTTATTGGCAGTTACAGCAGCAATCTGTGAGGACTGTTGGGCCCGGTCAGTGGTGTTGCAAAGTTTCCTCCTCAATTGAGCACCCTGTAGAACACACACACTATTTTGTAACTTCATAGTTGTTTATAATAAACTAATTAACTTCATGAAGCTGAGCTCTTCTTGAGATTTTGCCAATTTTGCAGCTACCCAAGACCTTCCAAACATTTTATGGAACCCAGAGGTTCATTACCATGTACATAAGAGCCCCTATTTGGTCCCTGTCCTGAGCCAGATTAATCCATTCCATACCATCCCATCCTGTCTCTTAAGATCCATTTTAATATTACCGACCTACTTGCATCTTGCATCTTGCATCTTGCATCATGGGTTTCCCACGAATATCCTATAATCATTCCTCTTCTCCATTATTCATGCTACATGCCCTGGCCATATCCTCCTTGACTTGATGATTCAAATTATACCTGGTGGAGAGTACAAGTTATGAAGCTCCTCATTATGCAGTTCTCTCCAACCTCCTGTTACTTTATCTCTCATCAATCAAAATATTCTCCTCAGCACCCACAGTTAGAGGTTCTCCCTTAATGTCAGAGACCTAGTTTCACACCCATATAGAACCACAGGTAAAATTATAGCTATGTATGTACAGTAAAACCTGCCTTAAACGGACCCTTTATTAAACCAAAATCTGTCTTAAACGGAAATATTTTCAGGTCCCTTGACTTTGGGGCTCAAAAAGATGTTAAATAACCTGGATTAAATGGAAACTGTCTAACGCAGGCAACAGAAATCAAAATAAGCCTTTATACAGAAAATTTCCAGCCTTCCGGAATGCATTGTTTAGAATAATTTTAGGTATCCTATACATTCTGCAGAATTTTCTTTTCCCTAACTCTTTAAAATAAGCTTCTAACGGTACTGCACCACCTGCACTGAGATTCAGCAGAATTGTTTTCCCCTTATGGAAATTGTATTCAGTAAGGGCTCTAGGCCTACAGTTTTACTTTAGAGTAGCAGTTGTCACCATGGCTACAAAGACGAGACTTGTGCTTGATCTTAACACAAGACTAAAAGTGATCATGCGAGTGAGCGAGATAAATTGTCTCTTAAGCAGATCATGAAGATGTTTAATGTCGGTAAAACTCAAGTGTATGAGATTCTAAAGAAGAAAACGGAATTTTTGAAGTGGTGGGAAACTTGTGCTAATGGAAAAATAACAAGAGAACTTAAGAAAACTGCAAACGAAGACGTTAATGAAATAGTGTGGGAGTGGTTTGTCAGTGTGAGGGCGAAAAATCACTGGTTGTTGAGTCCTATGGTACAGGAATATGCTAAAAAAGTCGCTGAAAAACTGGGAAGACTGAATTCAAAGCATCTAACGGATGGTTGGAGAGTTTTCGCAAAAGACATCAGATAGTTTTTAAAGAACTTTGTGGTGAATCAAGTGAAGTAAATAGTGAGACCATTGAGGAATGGGAAGCTAAACTGCCATCCATAATCGAGGGATATGAACCTGAAAACATAGCGAACGGTGATGAGATTGGACTGTTCTTCTGCGCGATTCCGAATAAATAGCTATGTCTGAAAGGTGAAAAATGTTTGGGAGGAAAACTGTGCAGAGAAAGATTGACTGTTCTTCTATGTGGTTTTATGTAAGGGTGAAATGGAGAAAACCTTAGTGATTGGCAAGGCAGCAAAGCCACGATGCTTCTGAAACATGGACATACGGAAATTTCCGTTGAGCAGAGATCCAACAGAAAGGCATGGATGACATCACAGATCATGGAGGAAAGGTTAACGGCCTTCAATGGTAGAATGAAAATGCAAAACCGGCATGTTTTGTTGTTCTTGGATAAAGCAACATGCCACCCCCATATCGAACTTTCCAACGCGCGACTTGCTTGGTTCCCTCCAAACACCACTAGTGTTTCTCAACCAGTGGATCAGGGCATCATTCGGAATGTTAAGGTCCACTATCGTAAATTATTAATGCAATCTTTGCTCGTCAATATAGATTCTACATCATCCGCCTCTGAACTTGCAAGAACTGTCTCGGTTCTAGATGCGGTTATTTAGACAAGTCAAGCAGTAAAGAAGTTGTTAACAGAAACTGTGACAAAGTGTTTCGAAAAAGCAGGATTTTCTATGGTAGAAGTTACTCCTAGTGTAGAAAATGAGAATGACCAGAAGGAATGAATGAAGCTGCTTTCAGTAACTGTAATGCTGAGGACTACATCAACATAGACAAAGATGTGCAAACAGAACCAGACACAATGGATATCGAAGTATTAGTTGAGAATTTTAGAGAAAATGGAAAAAAGGAAGAGAGGAGGAAGAGGAAGAAGAGGAAAATGACACTGTGATAGAAGAAGAAAAGTGTACAGTGAAGACTTATCAGGATGCTGCCAACAATTTAAAGGTACTGCAGGAGTTTGCTGTGCAACGAAACGATTCAGACATGCTTACTCTAATTTCTCAAGCTAAAGTGTTTGTGGAAAGTCAGGCAGCCAAGAGAGTAAACTGCATGCAAAAAACTGCCGGAGTTCTGGTAAAATTATAAAAAGTGAGTACTGCAATTTTTTCTGTTCAGTGTAATGTTTGCATGTGTTCAGTGATTATAGTGTGGATAAATTAATGAGCATGTAGTTTTGTTTTGTCTCAAATACGTTTTGTTCTGGTTTAGTTATTATAGTATACCTTGATTAAACAGAAACCTGGCTTCAGCGGAAATTTTTTCTGGTCCCTTGAGATTCCGTTTAAGACAGGTTTTACTGTATATTCTAATTTTTATGTTTTTAGAAAAGAGGTGAGAAGACAGCATTTCTGAACTGCATGGTAGCAAGCATTACCTGAATTAGGACTCTTTAATTTCCTCTTGAACCAAATTTTGATTTTTACTGTCATCCCCAATATTTGAACTGTGCCACATTTTCACAGAATCCGTTATCTATCTTTATGTCATGATTTTTCCCTGCATTCTCATGACAAAACAGCTGCATATACTTAGTTTTATCTGCGTTTTTCTCTAGACCAACCTCCTTACTAGGGTTAGTTGAAGTTTATGTTTTCTTTATGGTATCTATGTTATCTCTCAGTAAATTCACATCATCAGCATAGGCCAGCAGCTGATGTGGCCTATTTAATTTCAGTACCACCTGCTTTTCTTGAACCTTCCTAATGACATATTATAAAGCAAAATTGAAAAGAAGTGGTGATAAAGCATCTGTTTACTCACTGCTGGTCTGTCCCTAAAATTTTTCCATCACCGGATAGTGGTCAATATAACAGTCTGCTCCCCTGAACCATTGGATGTCAAATACACTTGAATACTTTCTGTTATCAAAATATGGTCAGTTTGATTGTCTTTCCATCAGGAGATGTCCAAGTAAATTTATGAATGTTACAATGTGGGAACATTGTACTTTTGACAGTCAGATTTTATGATGGGGCAAAGTTTACTACTCTAACTCCATTACCATTATCACTTTTGTGAAATCTCCTAGCCAAATTTTCGTATGGTATTTAGGGAATTTATCGAATACATGGTCTAGTTCCTTGTAGAAGCTGCCCTTCATATGATCAGTTTAATTATGTGTTGGGGCATAGCGTTCAGAACAATGATATCTCTCCAGCGGGTTCGTAATATTATATACATCCTATCACTAACAAACTCTGCCCTCATAACTGCTGATATAATTCTTTTATGTACAAGAAAACTGTACCTAATTCATGATTCATATTCCCCTTTCCACAGAAAAATGTATATTTGCCTTCTGGTTCAGTGCCACCTTTGTCCCATCTGACCTCCTATACTCCCACTAAAAATGACTTATATTTTTATATTTCTTTCACAGCTGTCATAAGTGAACCTGCCATATAGAGACTGTTTACATTCCACATACCAAATCTTATGTCTATTTTCCTTAGCTTAGATAGTTTATACAAAGAATCTGCCCTTTGTGACATTTCATAACAACCTTATTTTTATGGTGAGAAGTTGTCAGCCCCATGCCCAACACCCAAGATGGAGAACCACCCCATGTCGGCTGTCCACGACTGCTAACTCAGTATATTCACAGCTGCCCTCCATACCTGGAGCCCATCTTCTCCATTCACAGCCATAGGACGTGTCATGCTGTAGTTAAAGGGACCCACCTAACATGGTGTTCATGCTAAAGTTTGATGTAATTCCAAAGCTTTGACCTGAGTGCAGGATTAATTTTCAAGGAAAACTATGTTATGTTATTTATAGTGAAATTTCTAATATTTTCATAATTTTACTACACCAAATTCCAGAGTGCATCATTAGATTTACCACATTTGCTATGAACACATTCTTCCAAATAGATAAGAATTTCACATACTTCTTCACTAATAACATTTCCATGTTTCTTTCATGTCATCATGGCTACCGTAGCATTTAGGGCTGGCTTTGTTGTTTGTTTCTTAATTGAAATCTAAGGAATGTGGAAACCCAAATTCCAAATTACTTTGAATTAAAGATAACAGCACGTATCGCCTAAAATAAAAAAATTTGAGTGTTGTGTTTTAAATGGTTGATTAACCAAATAAATATTCTCCCAACTGTAGGAACATAAATAAGTTATGTTTTGAGAAAGGTTGGAAGTAAGAAAATGCAATAATAACAACAACAACAATAACAATAATAATAATAATAATAATAATAATTATATGTGCACTGATTAAGGAAGTAAGTGCTAATGTTCTGCACAAATTTGGTTGTCTCTTCTTAACATGCTGTAAAGGAGAGTAATTTGCACATACATGCTGTCATTCCAAAATGCCAGCCCAATATCTCTTTGTATTTTACTGTCTATTAAATTTTGTGAACATCACATCTCTTGATGTTGTGTAATCTGTGTGGCCACTAGTGCCAGTAAAGTAATCAGTTACATACGTGTGTGTATTTCATGTCCACTGTTCAGTTGTTCAGTCAGTTTTGTAATACACACATCTGTGTTGCCCTGTGTCATATCCACATATATCAAGTACTACTGTGTTATATGTTTGGTGACAGCACACGGATGGATGCTTTTAGAAACAGAACATTGTGAGAGATTGTTGATTTTATGTCCCAATGTGATTTGTAATAAAAATAGCAAACATCATTAATTGCATGTATTTTATGTAATTTTTGTCTTGTTCTTGCCTCAGACAGCTGAAATGCTGAAGATCAAAGGGCTGGCAGAAATGCCAGAGCAGAATATTGCAGGATCAGTACACATGAGCAAGTCCCTTAGTGTATCATCTGATAAGGCAGAACTGTTAACACCTAGTGAATCAGCATGGGGTCCAGATTCTCGTTGCAGTTCTGCTCCTTTGTCCCCATCTATGCGCAGGAAACGGTTGCGCAAGTCTTCCACAGGTTCTGGATCTGGTTCAACAGGTGTGGTACTGTACAGAATGTACTATATTAGTGGCACATTATGTTTAATTTGTTCTATAACTTTAAAAATAAATTATTTGAGTGTGTTCAGAAATTTTGTATCTCAGAATGACAGTAAAGATTTAACTTCTGTTCCCTGGTCTTCCAGGTTAGCATGAAATTTTTAAATATTTTAAATAAAAATGCTTCTGTGAAGCATATTACAATGCTGTAGGTGAGTGAAGTTTGTTACATGGCTAGTAGATTTAAGTTACAATCCTGAAGTTCTCACTATTTCTTTTAGACATGATGACATGTTTCCTATTTAAATAATTTATGATAATATAATACTGCTCTCAATTTTACCTGAATGAGTCATCCATTTCATTAGGAATATATCTATTATCTGATGATACTGGAAGAACCTGTTCCTTGTCTGGGTTGCTATTTTTGTGTTTGCAGAATTTGTAATGTGTTAACATTTTTGCCTTCTCTCTCCTGATAAGCTGTCTGTGATCATTTTAATTAGCTAAGCAGCAGACTCTCTTAAGAACTGGATGTGCATGCTGAAAGATGTCACATGTAAAATTGGGGACATTTACACATTCAAGTAACCTGTATAATTTTGTTGCAATTTTTGTCATTTGGTCTTTGTGAAGAGTGCCTTTTAACAGTGTGTACCATCATTTCCATATTTTAGTTTCATAAATATTAGCAGTTGGTTTGTTCCAGATCATGTTCACATTACTTTACAGAAATGTTTGGCCATAGTAAGTCATTTTCTATTTATGTTGATTTGCTCCAAGAATAATTTGTGTGATGTGATTATTTTCTGTAGCTGGACCCAGTTTCCATGAATACCATAGAAACCATTGGGAATTCTGTAATTTTTACATGAATCATGCTGCTATTGGCTAAAATCTGGTGCATGTAAATCTTATCATTGGATTTATGTTGGCTTAGAAAGAACATCAGAGGAATTGCCAAGTGAAATCACATTGGTAGCATCACCAGCTTTGGTGAAACCTGAACCAATTCCATCCACTCCTGATGGTGAGAGTGGTCGGAATGAAGGATCATTAAGGAACAGTACACAAGAGCCAAGCACTGATTCGGAACCCCGGGAGGGATCTCAGGATAGTGCAGAAGATGACCAGCTAACATTGGTTAGTATTTCATTAACTGCTTTGTTTTCCAGATATAGAATTAAACTTCTTTCCAAGGTTTGAGATGTGTCAGGTGAAATCAGTTTAATGTTTAAAAGATGGGAAAATGTTTCATGCTTCATAAATGCAGAAGTATGTTGAAGTTGGGTCATGTTGAATTGTACATTGTATATCATTCTTAATATTATGCATCCTGTTGTGTGTCATAAATAAGATATATAAAGTATAGAATATACCGTCTACAAAACAACAACCAGTATTCACTAGTATAATATTTAAGAACTCTAAATTTGAAAACTTTAAAAATGACATAAATATTGTATTTGAAGCCTTAAACAGATGATTCGAAGCCAATTTACTCTCATTAAATTTTGATAAAACCCATTACATATCATTCACAACTAAAAACAACCACCAAATTGATCTGGACATCAGTTATGCCAACAAATTAATCTGTAAAGTACTTGATACAAAATTCCTTGGAATACATGTAGACAGTACACTGTCTTGGAAAATACATATTGAACAAATTATACCTAAATTAAATGCAGCTTGCTATGCGATGAGATCAATTAAGCCTTTTATGTCACAGGAAACATTGAAGATGGTTTACCATGCCTACTTTCATTCTATTATGAACTATGGATTAATATTTTGGGGGAACTCTTCACATAGTGTAATAATTTTTAAAATACAAAAGAATATAATTAGAATCATTACAGGATGTAGAAGTAGAGATTCATGTAGAGAATTATTTAAGAAATTAAAAATTCTACCTCTTCAATCGCAATACATATTATCGCTTCTCTTATTTGTTGTTTACAACAAAGATAAATTCAAATTAAATTCTGATGTCTATAACATGAATACTAGACAAAAATATAACTTCCACCTACCCTCATCAACTTTATCAGTATATCAAAAAGGAGTCTACTTTACTGGCATAAAAGTGTTCAACAATCTGCCACAAAGTATTAAAAACTTGGGCAATGATACTAAAAAGTTTAAATCAGAGTTAAAGAATTATCTACATGCTCATTCCTTCTACTCTTTAGATGAATACTTCAATGTAAATAGAGAATGATGTAAAATTAAGATATATTAATTTTTAAGCTAAAATTGCCTGTACTTATGTATGTAACCTTTTGACTTGTTCTGTATCCAAAGGTACTAACCTACTTAGGATTTATGGAATGTAAATAAATTCAATTCAAAACAAAGAAGACACGACTTCGACAACATTTGCTTTTATTATGTTTATTAGAGACGCAACATGTTTGGACCGTTTCACAGGTCCTCAACAGGCGTACAAAGCACCAGTCTTAACCTGTTGAGTTGCCATCAATTGTCATTTTATTCATTGAATAAGGAACTTTATTTCTTACGCTTCATACATCAAAATCTGTCATTGAAAATCATGGCACCCATGGCTCTTTTTTAACCTTTAACATCCGAATGACACATATATATGACGCAAGCAGCAACCGGAGTTGGCCAAATGACATGTATATATGACGCAGGACAGTGCACTCTTTTGGAGTGCTGACAGTTTGACCTTGAGTTTGACTGAACAAAGAAATCGTTTATCTCAGTCCTGGTTTCAAAACTATTTATGTTTATATATGACTGTTTATGACCTGGTCAGCCAAATATAGCCCAGCTTTGTTCTGAGAACTGAAGAGGAAATATTCATCGGTGCTTGCAAATCAGTGCTTCCAGAGCTTTCAAGGAAGTGTGACGTATTCAAGGATTGGTTTTCAGTGGCGAATTATCAGTTAGGAAGTCGGTGTTGGATTGTGTAATATTTCTTTTTCACTTAAAAAGTTAGTGTCAGACTGTCATGTATTTCTATTTATATTATTTTGTGTCTCGGAAGAGGTATAAATCCACTGAGCCAGTATTACTTTGTGAGTAAAAGACATCTTTGTCACTGTGACTTTCTGTATCAGTGTCAAGACTGGCACCTTTTTGACTACTATTACAGTTTACAACTCTTTAATGAACCATCACAACACAGCAAATAGTAAAACATCAAAGTCAGCGTACAGCTGTGGCTTTGCTACATGTTTCGGCCACTATCGGCCATCATCAGGCAAATACATATCAACAAAAATCTACCATTTAACTGCAATCATAAAATGGATATAACACTATTAATCGTACAATTTTAAAATTGCTTA